AAGCACAGTGATGCTCAAGCCTATAATTTCAGTATGTTGGGAGCTGAGATGCGGGGAGGATCACTTGAGGCCAGGAATTCAAGACCAACCTGGGCAACATAGTGAGACTCCATCTCACAAAAAATATATAAAAAAATAGCTGGACATAGAGGTATGAGCCTATAGTCCTAAGCCACTTGGAAGCCTGGGCAGCAGAGAAAGACCAAAAGTCATAGAAAAGCACTCAATGAAAATAAAAAGGTGTCTAATCAACTTTATTATTTATTTTAAAGTGGTGGGCATGTTTCATTGATTGCCATTGCAGTCAGACCCTCCCCCTTCCTATATTTTACATGGCTAATATAATAACCCCAAAGTTCCGTTTTCTTGAAACCTGCCTCAAAAAGTGGGAACTGAAAAGCCTGTTGATGACAGAATATGGTCAGAATCAACCAAAAAAATAAATTAACATCTTCAGCCTTTTTCTAATCAGGAATGCTCCATATATTCATCATGTAATCAGACCTTTTTAAATGTTTAATTTCAGTACAGATAAATTAGACTATCCACAAATGACAGAGGGTCTGTTAGTTTGAGTTTTTGAGGCTTGCCTAAGCACAGATTAGGTATGAAATACCTAGTTTTCTAGAAATGCAACTTTAATACTCAGCTGCTGCTGAATGTCCACTTGACAAATTTAACTATTAGTAAGAGTTTCTTTTACAAATGTAGCCTTCTGATTGTACTTCATTTTCCTAACCTTTGGGAAATTAAAAGCATTCTCTTAATTTTTGAAAAATGTATTAAGCAAATGCAATCATTTCTGTAATATAAAAGAAGTATTCTTAAAAGAGAAACTTAAATTTCCTTTCAGGCCTGTGATGCTTATTGACCATATTATTGTGCAGACATTTCATAGAAATATTTTTTACCATAAGGACACTGATTCATCATCACAGACTATTTCTTTTGGAGGTAATCTCCTGTGTCTAAAGTCTGTCACATAAAGATCTCAACGCACTTGTTACGTAAAGTATTTTAGTGTTCTTAGTTTTAAGCCCAGTGTTTAAGTACAGAGAAATGCATACGACTAGCTCAATCTGTGCTTCTGAAAGAAATATATATCAATTAAGCAAAATTGAATTGCTTGTAAGACCTCTGAAAGTACTGATGGCACCTCAGTTGTGAAGAGCAATGGGAACATTACATTCTGCTTCCTTCAGCTAAAGAATAAGAAATAACAAAAGTTACCTGATCCAGGGTGAAGTTGACCTAGAACTCTATAGACCATTTCCTTTGAAATGATTAGGAAAGTACCATGTATGGAGCAAAAGAAATTAAGCTGAAAAAATGTAAACCATAAGTTAAGAGACCTCATCATTACAGCAGCATCACCCCTTCTGCTTCCTAATTCTTCCTTACTGATGTAGACTGTGAAGATATAAAGATGAATAAGACCTAGTCCCTGCCTTCAAGGGACTAATAATCCAATGGAAAACAGATATGTACAACTAACCATAATCATTAAGATATATTAGTGTTTTCAACAAAGTGCTAAGTGGAGAGAGAACAAAATAAATGATTAATTTTGCCTGGGAGAATCAAGGAAGACTTTACAGAGGAGGTGACATTTAGCCAAATCTTGAAGGATAAGTAAGATTTAACCAAATAAAGAAAGTAAGAATTCCCTAGAAAGAGAAAGTAGCAGAAAACAAAAGCAAGTTATATAAAAATTATTGGCATATTGGAGAATATTTAGAGGGAGTGGCTGGGAAGATAGATTAGGGTTAGTTGGGAATCATATGGTTATTACTCCTCTCTTGATCCACTCCTGTTACCTATGGTGATAGGCTTTATTTTTTTAAGATACTAATCAACCTTAGTATTTTGTGGTGGGCATGTTTCATTGATTGCCATTGCAGTCAGACCCTCCCCCTTCCTATAAACTCTCTCATCCCCTTCGTATTATCTCCTATTATGTGTGGTATTAATAAGATATAGCAGTCCCTTTCCACTATCAAATCCTTCTTCACCCAACTCTGGTATTACTAAGGCCCAACCACATGATTTAGGCTTGACCAAATGGATACTTCCTCTTTGAAGACTTTGAATCTTAATCAAGTGATGCAAAGATATGAGGACATCTGGTGATGATATTCATAGCAACAGTAGCAGCAACAATAGTTGGGATTTTTGCTGTGACTCCTGTCCCTTGCCCTCAGGAGCACCCTTGACTCCAACCTTGAGTCAGTTTCTGCTTTGCAGCTAAGAACGCTGACCCAGCAATGTCCAAAACCAAACTCATCATTCAAGTTCAAGAAGTTACACACTGAAAACATGGAACTACAAGTTCAAAATTTCAAATGAAAGGCTTTTTAGGATGAAGAAAGATTTAAGATCCCCTGTATTAAAGATGAGAGTTAAAGGCCAAGAGATAGATCATCCAGGGAGATACTGTAGAGAAAGAAAACAAGAGGACCAGAGATAGTATCCTGGGAGATGTCAACATATGATGAAGCAGACAGAGGAGCTAGCAAAGATGCCCTAAGGGATATTAGAGGTAGGAGGAGAACCCAGGGAGGAAATAATTTCAAGAAAGGGGTCAGCAATATCAAATACTGCAGGGGGATCAGAGAGAATAATGACTGAGAAGAGGTCATTGGGATTGACAATTAGCAAGTCACTGGGTACATTGGAAAGGACAAATTAGTAGTAGCTTTAAAGGCGGGAGCCAAAAGTCCATGGTTGAGGAAGTAAAGGGAGGTGGCAAGTGAAAGTATCAGTATAGATTGCTTTACTGGAAGTCTGGTAAAGTGAAAGGGAATAAAACAGCCACAGGGATTTGAAGTTGAGAGAAAAGTGAGTCTTTTCTAGCAAAGGAGTTGGTGGAGGAGGAGGCATTGAAAGTATAAGACACAGGAAACATAGATGATGGAGCATTATCTAGGAGAAGGAAGGAGGTGATGGCAGTTATAGCAGGGTCAAATTGGGCCGAATTAGTGGCGTTGTCCTTGGAAGGGAATAGAGCCTCTTCTTCTTTGGAAACAGGACAGAAAGAGGGAAGAAAAGATGAATATTAAAATCACTGGAGCCAGGCGCTGTGGCTCACACCTGTAATCCCAGGAGGCTGAGGCAGGAAAATCACTGAAGGCCAGAAGTTCAAGACCAGCTCGACAACATAGCAAGACCCCTGCCTCTTAAAAAAAAATTTTTTTTAAGACAGTCTCACTCCATCGACCAGACTGGAGTGCAGTGATGCAATCTTGGCTCACTGCAACCTCTGCTTCCTGGGCTCAAGCAATCCTCCCTCCTCAGCCTCCAGAGTAGCTAGTACTACAGGCAAGTACCACCATGCCCAGCTAATATTTAGTATTTTTAGTAAGACAGGGTTTCTCCGTTTTGTACAGGCTGGTCTCAGACTCTTGGACTCAAGTGATCTGCTCACCTCAGCCTCCTGAAGTGCTGGGATTACAAACGTGAGCCACCTCGCTCAGCCTAAAAATTTTTTTTTTAATTAGCCAGGCATGGTGTCCTATACCTATAGACCTAACTACTCAGGAGGGTGAAGCAGGAGGATTCCTTGAGCCTAGGAATTTGCAGCTGCACTGAGTAGGCTGTGATTGTACCACTGAACCCCAGCCTGGGTGTCAGAGCAAGACCCCATCTCTAAAAGTGAAAACTTTAAAATAAAATGTAAATCACCAGAGTTCTTAAACCTGGAGATTCCTCAAGCCTCAACTTAGTGAATTTGAATATTAGTGCAAACGGCTCCTGAATGTGCATTATTAACAAGCTGCAGGTGACAACTATGCATACTAAAATTTGAGAATCACTAATAAAGATTATACAAAAGGAGAGATGGAATTGGAGCTAAAGAGTGATAAAAGGGCTGGGCGCAGTGGCTCACCCCTGTCATCCCAGCACTTTGAGAGGCTGAGGCAGGCAGATCACCTGAAGTCAGGAATTCATGACAGCCTGGTCAACATGGTGAGACCCTGTCTCTACTAAAAATGCAAAAATTAGCCAGTCATGGTGACCCACACCTGTAGTCCCAGCTACTTGGGAGGCTGAGGCAGAAGAATTGCTTGAACCCAGTAGACAGAGACTGCAGTGAACTGAGATTGCACCAATGCACTCCAGCCTAGGTAATTGAGTGACACTCCATCTCAAGAAAAAAAAAAGGAAGAGGATTTATTTTAAAAACATCTGAGAATCAATACTGCTTTTATAATATTTAAATTTTCTGTGTGAATTAAATAGCCAAAGTACATAGTTATCTATCATTCATTTATCCAATAAACTGTTATGTATTTACGATGTTCAAGCATTGTAACTAACTTTGAGATTCAGAAGAAGTATATCCATCTATTTTTTTTAAAAGGGGGATGTCAATTCACTTAGGATGTCAAAACATAAATTGATAAACTAACAATACATAAAAAGCAACCCTTCTCAGACAAGAAGTAGAAGTGATATGGGTGGTATGCATCAGAATCCCTAAGGAGATTATTCAGAATATTAATGCCCTCATCCAAGTCAAATCAGAAGTTTGGAGAAAGTATGCTTGGTTTGAAAAGTTCCAAAATTATTCAACACAGTTCCCACCAGCTCTTAAAAATTACTGAACTAGAGGAAAAAAGAAAAGAATAGTCCAGGCGCAGTTGCTCATGCGTATAATCCTAGTACTTTGGGAGGCTGAGGCAGGAGGATTGCTTGAGTTCAAGATCAACTTGGGCAAAAAAGCCAGACCTCGACTCTACAAATGATACTAAAAAAAATTAGGAGTGGTGACACACGCTGTGGTCCCAGCTACTCGGGAGGCTGAGGTGTAAGGATTACTGGAGCCCAGGAGGCCAACGCTCCAGTGAGCTGTGATTGAACCACTGCACTCTGGCCTAGGGAGCAAAGTGAGACCTTGTCTCAAAAAAAGAAAAAAGAATGTTAATAATCACTGTCAGGTTTGTTGAATGAATATTGCAATTTTGTTGACTTTATATATATATATGTAGTTTCCAATTTAAAAATTGTTGGTACTCCTAATATGGTTACAATTGAAACATGTGTTTAGATTCTTAGGCAAGCCCAGAAAGGTGTATGTAATTATTGGCATGGCTAATCATAGGTCACTAACCTTTTCTCTGGAGCTTAAAAATAGAGAAGTGTGTAATAGAAGTTTCTTCCAGTTTCCTAGGAAATGCTTTAAAAAGAAACAAGCAAAATTTTCCTTGGTGCTCTTCTACCTCCTTTTGACACCTCTCTTCCACTCAGGTTCACCATAGGCTCATGCACCCCCCTTAAACCTACACTACCTTTAAAAACATTTCCAAATTCGGTGTACAAAAATTGAATTCCAGCATTAATAATTATAGTGAAAATTTGGCAACAACATATGTATCCATCAATGGGAGATTTGTGAAATAAATTATAATGTATCTGAATCATGGACAGTATGTTATAAACACAATAATAACAATCTACTTTTTTGGGAAAATATAGCCTTGACCTTTTAGAAGATAAAAAAGCATGCTATAAAACAGGATTTAAAGACTTACTTGTTCACTTGACTAGCCTTAAAAAAAATTTTAAAAAGAGCATTTTTCCATCAGTCTGGAAGGATGTTGGTGTTGAGGTTGGTGTACATATCAAGGACAGTAACTACCGTGGCTTCTGAAGTTTTGGCAAAGCCTCAGATGCGTGGCCTTCTGGCCAGGCGTCTGCGAATTCATATGGTTGGAGCATTCCTGGTATCCCTGGGGGTTGCAGCTCTCTATAAGTTTGGTGTGGCTGAACCAAGAAAGAAGGCATACACAGATTTCTACAAAAATTACAGTCCCCAGAAAGATTTTGAGGAGATGAAGAAGGCTGGTATCTTTCGTAGTATAAAGTGATCTTGGAATAGAAGGAATTTCTTCAGGTTGAATTACCTAGAAGTTTGTCACTGACTCGGGTTCCTGAACTATGACACATGAATATGTGGGCTAAGAAATAGTTTCTCTTGATGAATAAACAATTAACAAATTAAATAAATAAATAAATAAATAAATAAAAGAGCCAGGCACACTGGCTCACACCTGTATTCCCAGCACTTTGGGAGGCTGAGGCAGGCAGATCACTTGAGGCCAGGAGTTCGAGACCAGCCTGGCCAACATGGTGAAACCCCATCTCTACTAAAAATACAAAAATTAGCCTGGTATGGTGGTGTGCACCTGTAGTCCCAGCTATTTGAGAGGCTTAAGCAGGAGAATCGCTTGAATTCAGGAGGTAGAGGTTGTAGTAAGCTGATATTGCAGCCCTGCGCTCCAGCCTGGGTGACAGAGCCAGACTCTGTCTCAAAAATAAATAAATAAATAATAAAATTAAAATAAATTAATTAAAAAAAAGTTTTAAAGACTGACTTGATTTTGCTAAAATTAGGTGTATATGTGTGAGTGCATGCATGTATGCAAAAAAGTTATCCAAAAAAGTCACAAATACTGAGATTTTTTTGATGATTTTTATTTATTTATGTTTTCTATATTGTTTAAAAGTTTACTATGTTTTTCATACTTTAGGACTCTGAAAATAAGTTGTTTTTATTTTTTTATTATTAAACTCCCAAACCACTTACTTTCCCTCCCCACCAGATAAAAACTCTCTTTATCTTAGTGTAGCTTATCTCAGCTAGATGTAGAAGGAAGCTAAGCTGATTGAATTAGTTTGAGCCAGTTTGTGAGTGATTGTTATCTCCATTATCCTTCAAAACATATTTGTTTTCTCAAAATATAAATGAATCTCTAAATTGTGGTATTTAAGGTAGAATAATGAGGAAGCACAATAATTTGGACAATGTGGGTTACATAATTTTGGACAAGAATATGACCTCATAGCAAGTTAACTCTGCCTGGAAATACACGTCCCTTAGGCTCAGCTTCCTGAAGCTCTTCCCACTTATGCCACACTCTCTAGTCCTGGTGTACACAGGTACTTGTTACACAGAGAAGCTATTTTTTGTTTGGTTTCTTAACATGGTCAAATTTACTTATTTATTTAATCACTTTTAACTTAAAATGTCGTTTCTTCTCTAAAGAGCTTTGTTCAACATTCAGTTCTTTTCTGGTTTTTCCATGATTTGACTTCCATATATTTACCTTTAATTCAGTTGAAATTTATTTTGATCAGTGTGAGACAAGAATCTAAATTGATCTTGTCCCAAATTACTATTTTCTTCAAAATCATTTATTCAATCACTCTCTTCTACTTGTGGTGCATTATTTATTATACATTAGTATATTACATCTCAAATGAGCTCTTTATTCTGTTTTATTGATCTATCTTTGTACCAATACTAGGACTTACTGTAGCTCTAGAATGTTTTAAATATTGCATCTGTCGTGACTTTTCTCTTTCAAAATTTCAAAATGCTATTTTCACCCCTTTATTTTTCCTGTAAATTTCAAAATTGTTCTATTAAGTACCTTAAAAATCTTATTGTGGTTTTAGTTTATATAGCATTATGGTTAAAAATTAACTTGAGGCTGGCGCAGTGGCTCATGCTTGTAATTCCAACACTTTGGGAGGCCAAGGTGGTTAGATCAATTGAGGTCAGGAGTTAGAGACCAGCTTGGCCAACATGGTGAGACCCTGTCTCTACTAAAAATACAAAAATTAGCTGGGCGTGATGGCACGTGCCTGTAATCCCAGCTACTTGGGAGGTTGAGGTAGGAGAATCACTTGAACCCAGGAGGCAGAAGTTGCAGTAAGCCGAGACCATGCCACTGCACTCCAGCCTGGGCAACAGCGTGAGACTGTCTCAAAAGAAAAAAAATTAACTTGAACCTCTCTACTTTGTACCAACACATCCTTTTCAGTCTTCCAACTATTTTCCACGAGACCCTGTGTCAGATGTGGCAGCAATGGATATATATTCTATGTGGTAACTCAGGGGTTTGTATGTCAGGATTGCCTGTACTCAAGTTTTAGGAAACTGTCATTTAGGACTTTTGACTAGTAAGCACAATATGTAATAGAGGTTTCGGATTTTTTTTTAAGTAGTCTTCTTTCATGTTATTATTTCAGTTTACTATTTGGAGGGTTAACTACTTATTGTTGGTTGCCCAGGACTGATATCCTTTGCATCTTCTTCTCATTTTTATAATTGGCTTATTATATTGCAGTGGAGCCCTCTTCAAGTTTTTATTTTTTGTAACTCTAGAGAATAATGTCTGTCTTTCAAGGATTTGATGAGATTCATTTTGGAAATCATTCCAAACCCTACACTGGATTATTACATTAACTATCGGTATGATCTCAGAGAAATAATTTAAGTTCTCTGATTTTAGTTTTCCTCACCTGTAAAATGGGTGTAAGAATACAGACGTGAGGTAATAATGTAAATGTACCTATAAACAACCTCTGTATAATCACACAAGAAATGGTGTGCCTTTCCATCTCTCCCTTCCCTCCATTTACCTGTTGATATCTATTTTGTCAGGTCCTCCCCACCTGTGGTTCTGTAATTACCCTTCTTAACGGAATTCCTAAGCATCTCCCATGGCTCAATACTTAAGACCAAGTGGTGAAAGAGTAGAAATATCATAAATAATTTTGTAAGCAATCTAATATTAAATTAATTGATATTAAATTAATCACAAATCATTTTAATAGTAGCAAATTAAACTAAGCAGGTGTTTTTTGCTCTTTAGAAAAAATGGATTTAGAAAATTATTATTTTCTAAGTTATTAATGATTAATATAGGGCAATAATTCGGGTGTTGACCTTAAAGACTTGTGTATAGAGTATCTATTAGTACCAAGCAGTAATTTGAAGTATAAATGCTGATTGTATCACCTTAGAGCCAAAATCATTGATTAAACAGGCATATTCAACATTAAAATGTGTGTGTGTTTAATTAAAATTGATTTTGGAAGAATTCTCCAACTACTATTCCTTTTGCTCAATATTTTTTTTATTGTGAAAATGAAGTAAAATTGAGGTATTATTTAAGTTAAATCATGTATGTTGAGAGGTATCTAATTTTGTTTTTTTTTTCTTCTAAGGCCTAATAACTTATATATCTACTTCATGTCTTAATTTCACATCAAGCTAGAAAAGGCTTACTAGTGTTCATAATTCAGAAGTTGGAAATTTATCAGAAGATCCTAAATGTTGTAGGAACATTCAGAGCCCTGAGTAGGGAAGGATGTGGAAAACAAATTTGAGAAAAATAATTATTTGTTTGGCATCACATTTTTTCCATGATAAAATGATATCCTATGCACTGATTCTGTCATCTGCTATGTTCTATTAGGGTTTTCCTTAAAGCAGTGAAAGCATTATGTGTTGAGTGTCAGTCTAGTCACAGAAAGAAAGCTAATTCATGTGTATTTGGACATTTCCACTTCATTCACCCAGGAATTTTCTCTAATAATTGTAAAATAGAAATACCATTTTTAAATTTCAAAAAAGCGAAAGAGGACTAAGAAAAGGAAAACAGAATTTCTAAAATTAAGTTGCTTTCTAGCCACAGACTTGATTTCTTGAACAGTTTTAATAGTGTATTTATTGTTATATATAATATAATACATATTTTACAGGCAACTATCCATCTGTTCTCAAAGGTGGAAACTATCTTTAAACAATAAAGGAACTCCTTTCTGACACAAATGCTGTCTGCCTTTCATGTAGAAATATGCAGCATGCTGTTTGCACCAGCCTAACGATTTACATTAAGACCTATTTGGTATAGCTTATAAAATCTATTATTTTTGGCAGATACTTCAGTTGAATAGACTATGCTGGGGTGTGTGTGTGTGTGTGTGTGTGTGTGTGTGTGTGTGTGTGTGTGTTTAGATTGTCTCTAAAATATTTCAAGCTCACTCACAGGTTAATAATTATACAGTGATGTCAGCCAAACCAAGTGCTGACAAGGAAATGAGAGCCTTGTTCAGGAGAGAATGAGTATCCCAAGAGAGGAATCAAACAGCAAGCAGTCATTTTTCATAAAGAGAAAAATCACTAAACTAAAGAAAAGAGGTTTTAAAAAATAAGTTTAACTGAAAACTTGGACAACCTAAAAAGATATGCAGATGTGAAGATTCTAACAGAAGAGGCATTTGGAGCGTGGCCAGCTCCGTGTTCCACCCGCCACAGGAGTTTGCCTTTGGGCAGATGCAGCTCCCAAAGGTGTTTTCTCCCTGGTTTGATGGGGAGGAAAAAGTGAAAGGTTACAGTTTGGGTGTGTTAGACACACCTTTAGCCAGAATGGTATTCCTGAGTTACTCACATTATTGATCACAACTATACTAGAATAAAATAAAATGTGAAAACTGTGTGCTGATTTTTACCACATCAATATGCTTAAAAAAGTAATTTGAGGTTTTGTGTGTCTTTTCTGAATACACAGTAACCACACACCACAATGTCATTGCCTTTCTTTCTTTCTTTCTTTTTTCTTTTCTTTTCTTTTCTTTTCTTTTCTTTTCTTTTCTTTTCTTTTCTTTTCTTTTCTTTNTTTCTTTTCTTTCTTTCTTTCTTTCTTTCTTTCTTTCTTTCTTTCTTTCTTTCCTTTCTTTCTCTCTTTCTTTCCTTCTTTCTCTCTTTCTTTCCTTCTTTCTTTTCTTTTTCTTTGAGTCAGAGTCTCACTCTGTTGCCCACACTGGAGTGCAGTGGTGCGGTCTCAGCTCACTACAACCTCTGCCTCCTGGGTTCAAGCGATTCTCCTGACTCAGCCTCCCAAGCAGCTGGAATTACAGGCACCTGCCACCACACCTGGCTAACTTTTTGTATTTTTAGTAAAGATGGGGCTTCACGGTGTTGGCCAGGCTGGTCTTAAACTCCTGACCTCGTGATCTGCTCACCTTGGCCTCCCAAAGTGTTGGGATTACAGGCGTGAGCCACCATGCCTGGCCATAGCTTTCTTACTAATTAAAAATTCCCAGTTTTAGAGTCTTTGGAGCTTCAGTATGAACTAACTTTCCAAATTAAAACTGGATTCAGGTACTTCTATTAACAGATTGGGTTTCATTAAATCCCACCACAGA